CGCGCACCAGGGTCGCACTCGAGTTAAGCTCAAAGGTGCACCAGAGCGGCGGCGGGAAGAGAGAGGACAAGGAGGGCAGGGAGAACTATACTAAGGCACAGTGCGCCGTATGGAATCAAATGTTAGAGATACAACATTGGGATGCGTGATACCGTCGCGCCACGAGCGGACGCACCCATGGCGGCGGGAGGGCACAAGCCCAACCTATAGGCTGGGGTCGGCCGCCAGCAGCCGAGAGCCCGACAAGTGCATACGATGGTCCCCAAGCCTTCCACGCATTGAAACCATCGGCGGAAGTAGGACCGGAAAAGGAGAGGCATGGACAGAGGGAGAAGGACCACTGCAGCAGAGCCCAAGAGTGAAGCTTAGAGCGTGGACCTGCCGCCACCTCCATCCAACAGTCCGGGCAATCCACTGCCGAAACTGCACGAGGGTCAGAGGCGGAACAGGAGGAGGCCGCACGAGCAGGGAAGGGAGGGGAGGGGGGCGACGGCAAGCTCAGGTCGAGGTGTCTGGGCCTCCACAGCCACGGGCAGACCTGCATGCCGGGGGGATCGGCAGCACGCAACGAGGGGGGAGGGGCGGGGCGGAGGGAGGCCGAGGACGAAGGACGGAGGCGGAGGAGAGGCGGGCGAATGCTCGCTCTGGGCTCTGGTCGAGCGGTCTTGGCCTCCACAGCCACGGGCAGAGCTGCATGCCGGGGGGATCGGTACCACGCTACGGAGGAGGGGCGGGGCGGACGGAGGAGGGAGGCGGAGGAGAGGAGGGCGAGAGGCTCGCTCTGATTGAGCGCTCTGGGCCTCCACAGCCACGGGCAGGACTGCATGCCGGGAACATCGGCACCGCGCTTCGGATGAGGGGCGGGGCGGAAGGAGGCGGAGGAAAGGAGGGACAAGAGGGGGGGGCGGGCGGAGGGGGGAACGGCCCTGCCGAGCGCTGAAATTCGTGCCGTTCTCACCGATCGGTCAGGAAACAGTTGCACGAGCAGTCGTGAAAGGACCAATGGATCCAGCGCGCGGATTGCAACCCCAGTGAGCTACGACCGTTTTTTCAAGAGGTCGCCAGCTAGGGAGCGGACAACGGGCAAGGCCTCCACAGCGCGGGACTGCCCCGACATATTGGGCCACAAGGCTGTCTTGCGAACGTGGTCGAAACTCCGGCCAGGGACCCGAGCAAAAACGGATTCGGGCAACGCCAACGTTGCTGGTAGATGTAGGTGCCGGCTGGAGCGGACAAGTCTTGCCCCCCCTGGAAAGACAGACGCCAACAAAAGGAGCCACCTGTGAAAATTGTTGCCCAGGCGAGTGGCCGAGTGGGAGGAAGAAGAGGAGGAGGAGGAAGGGAGGGAGGAAGGGGGAAAGGAAACCCAAAAACAGAAGTGCTCATGTATCCTCTCCGACTTTCTGCTCCAGATGCTCCTCGTGGAAACCACTCATGATCGTCAACGTTTTGAAGAAGCCCGACCTCCAGGCACTCGGCCGACGCCTCGCTCCTCGAGCGCGCGTGCCGGAGATGGTGCACACTGCGGTTCAACACGTATACCGATACCGCTGTCTGCCGCAGGTGAAGGTCTTCCATCCCCCTGGCCGCGAGCATCCATTCGTCCAGGCGCGTCGCGGGAGGTAGTCGCAGCTGGAGCCGCCAGACGGCCCGCGTGCGAAAGTCAGGGCACCTCAAATAGTGCTCCACCTGGTCGGACAAGGGGCAGGCGCACCCGAACACGCAACGATTCCGGCCCGCCCGGAGGGATCGCTTTCTGGTGTCTGTAATCCAGCGGTTGAAGAAGGTGCTCAGCATGGCCGCTCGCACCCGCGCTGGAACGAACGACCGCAGTCGAAGAAAGTGTCACGTGATCCGCGGTGCCGCGTGTCCTGGCAACGCCAGGAAACGCCATCGAGCCGTCTGCTGGCGGATCCGTGTTCAGTGGGGGAGCTGGGGATCTGGCGGCCGCGGTATGCGGAGTGGGCGAGTCGGCGCGGGGTGCGGGACCCTCAGGGATTATTGGAGGACCTGGGGATCTGACGGCCGCCGTATGCAGCCGTATGCAGAGTGGGCGAGTCGGCGCGGGGGGCGGGACCACCAGGGATTATCGGGAGCCTGGGGATCTGGCGGCCGCGGTATGCAAAGTTTGGGGGGGAGGGCCTTAAAATCTAACGACCACATCCTATCGGGTGGGGAAGAACTTCTCCCTGTCGCGCCCCGAGGCTGGCAGAAATGGTGGGCCGGGCGTTTGGCTTGAAATTTCCTCACCATTGATGATCCTGAGAAGAAATATTTGCAACTGACTCACGGATGGAGGGCCGGTCGTGTTCACCCTTAGCTAAACACTTGCATGAGTTTCACAGATGGAAAGCAGGTCGTTGAAACATATGGTTCTCGCCCTGGCGCCGCGACCGTCGGTCTGAACAAATGCAAGACTTTCGCGGAAGGGGGGGAGGGCTTCTTCAACATGTGGTTGTCGCTCTGGCGCCGTGCACATCCGTCGTAGAGCTCTGCAAGGGTGTCGCGGATGGAAGTTCGAAGGGGGGTCGTTTTGAAATGTGGCTCTCGCTGCAGCGCCGCGCACATCCGTCTCAAGCAAGTCCATGAGCTTCGCGAAGGAGGGCGGGCCCTTTACTTATATATTGATTGATGTCTATAGACATATACACTAGGACAACGCGCGCTTCGCGCGCGCTCAGGCCCTAGTTCGGCATATGAGTAAGTTTCGTTGTGGTACCAAAGGGGTGGGAGAAACTTGCCGTATATGCCAAAGATCGACATGTGCCGAGGGTCACCTGGAGATTGATTGAGAACGGGACGTCGTGTTCTCCAACTCCCTGCCCCTCGCCACCATCGCCAGTCTCGATGAGAAGCAGCAACAGCAACAGCAGAACGATCAGGGTCGACAAACGGGAGGAGCAGGAGCAGGAGTAAATTTTGCAGGAATCCACCAACACCGATCCTGGCGAGGCCAATCGGGCCATCTTGGGTTGGTCCGGGAGGCTTCTTGGACCGTCCGAGGCTGTCGTACGCCCAACCCCCCAGCGTGGCTGGATTGTGGGTCTCTGCATCTCAATGATAGCAAGGGCCGACATCAAATAATCAATCAGCAACGTCGCTACAAACGCGTGGCTGCCACAAGCCAGGTGTCCCTGTCTAGCACCCCTCCTGATACTCCTCCTCTTCCTGATGCTCCACCCCGTCGAAACCCAACTCACGTTCGCTAGAGTGTCCGGCGAACAATCTGACACTTTGGGGCTCCTGCGTTTCACAGATAGCGAGAGCCCAGCATCGAAGGATCAGACAACAACGTCGCTACAATCGCGTCGCTGCCGCAAGCCAACTATCCCTGCGGATTTGTTCTGACACACCTCCTGTTCCTCCTACTCGTCCTCCTGATCCTCTTCCCCCTGATCCTCCTCCTTCGCTCCCTCCCCCTCCGCCTCCTCATCAGAATGCTTCAAGAAGGTGAAACTCACCTGTACCACGACTGTGTACACCCAGCTCACGTTCCTTGTTGTCGGGCGGATAATCAGACACATTGGGGCTTTGGCGTCTCGGTGATAGCAAGAAACGACAGCGACGGAGCAAACAACAACGTCGCTACAAACGCGTGGCTGCCACTAACCAGGTATCCCTGTGGTAACTTGTCTGATACCCCTCATGATCCTCCTCCTCGTTCTTCTGATCCTCGTCCTCCTCCTCTCCCTCCCCCTCCTCCCTTTCATCAGCATCAGAATTCCTCAGAATTCAATTCGAACCTGTCCCACGACGGTGTAAGCCCAGCTCACGTCTCCTAGTGTCGGGCGAGCAATCGGACACTTTGGGGCATCTGCGTCTCAATGATAGCAAGAAGCGACACCGACGGATCGAAAAACAACGTCGGTACGAACGGTTGCCATAGGCCAGGTATCCATGTGGCACCTGGTATAACATTCCTCCGGCTCGTCTTCCTCGTCCTCCTGATCCTCCTCCTTTCCCTCCCGCTCCTCTTCTTCATCATCACCATAATGTCTCAGGAAGCTGAAACTCACCTGGTTCACGACGGTCTAAGCCCAACTCGCGTTCCCTAGTGTCGGTCGAACAATCAGACACTTTGGGGCTTCCGCGTCTCTGTGATAGCAGAAGCCGACATCGGAGGATCAAAAAACAACGTCGCTACGAACGCGTGGCTGCCACAAGCCAGGTATTCCCGTGGCCACTTTTTCTAACACCCCTTCGTCTCGTTTTCCTCGCCCTCCTGACCCTCGTATTCCTCATCCTCTCCCTCCGCCTCCTCCTCTCCATCATCATAATGTCTCAGGCAGGTGAAACTCGCCTGTCTCACAACGGTCTAAACCGAACTCGCGTTCCCTAGTGCCGGGCGAACAAGCTGACACGTTGGGGCCTCTGCGTCCCGGTGATAGCAGTATCCGACATCGAACGACCAGAAAACAACGGCGCTACGAACGCGTGGCTGCCACAAACCAGATTCTGTCGCAGTATTTTTTCTGACACCCCTCCTGTTCTTCCGCCTCGTCCTTCTGATCCTCGCCCTCCTCCTCTCCCTCCCCCTCTTCCTCCTCATCACCGCCAGGATGCCTCAGGAAGGTGAAACTCACCAGTCTCACGACGGTCGCATGGAGGCCAAGGTCCCTATCCTCGGGCCTCCATCTCCCCAGCCACGCGCCACCCAACCACCCGAGCCGCGACGAGGACAACCCCCCCCGCGAAGAGGGGCAAGTGGATCAGGAAAAAGAGGGCACGACGCTGCCAAGGGCGTCCGCCGCGCTGAAGCCGCTTGGCGGGCACGCGCGAGCGAGGGCTCCCACAACAGGATAACGGAGCAGCGGCCGCAACGGCAGCAGCTCGGCAGGGCGAGGACGAGGAGGAAGGAGGATAAGGACGAGCACAGTGAGGATAAAGGAGGACAAATGAGGAAGGAGAAGGAAGGAGGGCGAGGACGAGGAGGCAGGAGGGCGAGGGTGCGGATTAAAGAGGAGGGTGAGGAGGAGGTGGCGGCGGCGACCCGGTGTCGGGCCGAGGGCCGAAGTACATCGAACGACGTACACAACTGCCAAAACAAAGCTGTCAATGAACGACCTACCGTGCGTGCCTCGTTCGAGGACGGTTGAAAAGACGGCCCCCCTTGGGTCGGGAAACCCGATATGTCATCGCTTTAACCACGGCTACATAGTGAACACAAGATAAACAAATTAAACGATTTCCTACCAGATTTCCGGCCCGAGAAATCCTATAGAGGTAAGTAAGGTTTCAGGCCGTACAGGTCCAGGAGGACACAGAAACCGGCTCCAGGGCGGGTCCGACCAGGCTAACAGGGCCGTCCGAGGGCTCAAAAACGCATCGCCATACTATCAAGTCCGTTGAAGCTGTACTCGCGGTTCGCATGGGAAGAAGGAGGCCGAGGAGGAGGGGGAACAGCGGCGGCTGCCGCCGAAGCCTGCACCAGCGGGGGCCTTACCCTACCCTCCGGAGGCATGTGAGGAACGGGTTCAACTGCAGTCCCATAGCTCACCGCACTCCGAAAATCCACCGCGCTACGATGGTCCACCGCACTCCGACGATCCACCGCACTCTGATGGTCCTCAGCACTCATGCGATCCACACCACCCCCCTGACTCCCAGCACTCCGATGATCCACAGCACGCCTCATACCTCGAACTGACCTATGGCGAACTGGATAATGCGTTCGGTGTTCGGCCGCGGCGCGATCCCGAGCTTCAGCCCCCCCATCTGAGTCACGCATACCGATGAATACCCTGGTCAGCTGCGGGTCGGCGAACGAGAAAATCATTTCCGCCTGACCTTCCTGGTAGGCGAGGGAGACCCGGAAGCCCTCCACGAGAAGACTGAATTTTGTGACATCCGTGATCGCCTCCATCTTGGCTTGCTATTCCTGCCAAATTTCTGGTCCGCCGCGCCCACTGCAACGCCTGCCCCGTGATCTTCTTGCACACGACGAGAAACAATTGCACGCACGCGTGCCCCGTGGCGATCTCTAGGAACGGTTTCGACGGACCATCGGCGCTCCCCTCCCCATTTTGGCCACCTGTGCTACGCATGCCCTGCCGCCTTGGAAGCCTGCCACCACTATCGAAGCCGACTCGTCGATCAGCATCGCCTGAAACTTGGTGGACACCAAGGATCGAATCTGGTACGAGTTCCCGAGCACCGCGCGCACCAGGACAGGGAATAGCCTCGCCATCTGCTGCAGGTCCAGGGGCGGGAGTTTCTCGATGACGCCCTGGGGCAGGCCGTAGGCCCTGCCGATCTCCGCCGCAGACCCTCAGTTGGCCGACGCTGCTCCTCGCTGCTTGGGCTGGGCGGCTCGAGGCTTGGTGCTGCCTCGACGCGCGCCTCTCTGGCGGCCTCCACGCACTCGGGAAGTTGCTGCCGAGCCAGAGCGGCCACGTCCCTTCTCGCGAGGCTAAGGCGCCCCTCGCTCCACAGAGCGAGATCTGGCGTCCTCAAGCTGATCGCCGGAGAGGCGGAACCTCGGCACGCGACCGAACTGTTGAGTAGCGGGGCCCACGAGGCGCGTGACTGCGAAGGAGCTGAGAAAGCTCGGGCAACGTGCCAACAGGATGCTCAGCCAGACAACAGAAGTCCGTACACTTGCCACCGAACACCGATCCGACCGTCAGGGAGGCAAACGGGCACTCGATCGCCTCGAGTGGCCTGGACCGGTTGCTCCTGGGCGATCTGAACGTTTGGAGGCAGAAGATGCACTGGTTGGCTACCGTGGCCGTGTGCACCACCGTATCTACACGCACGCTCACCTCCCATGGCGAACCTCTGGTGTGCCGAAAGAGCCCTCCTTGTATTGGATACCCTTCCACGCTCAGCCCCTCTCAGGTCTTCCACGAAGCTCACACCTCCATATCGGGGATGGCGGGGGAAGCACCTCTGGCGCCTCAGGAGCAGCAGGTCCATACAGCCCAGAAGGAGGAGAGACAACAACAGTTTGAGCGGCAGCACGTAGAATCCCAGGGACCAGAGCCAAGAACCTACCTCGAAGATCATGGTCCAAACAGAGAGCCAGAATATTCAGACACCTCCAGTACTCCAGGGACAAGTCGGGCACCATGAGGAGCTCTTCCAGATCCTTTGCCTCGGAACGATCCAGAAGCCTCAGTATGTCCAGGGCGAACCGACGAGCGTGGGGGGTGACCTTGGGGTCGAGGATGCCATTGTCGAGGATAGTGGGGGTTTCCTCGAGCGGGAGCTGGCCGAACACGTCACCGATCTCTTGTGGATGGCAGCTGGGTCGTGCGATCCACCTCCGATAGGTACGTACGCGTCGGACCCGAAGCTCCACCCCACAAGGAGCATCCCCACACGACGGTGCACAGCCTCATAAGTAATCGCACGATATCTAAGCACTTCCTGACCGTTACTGTCAACCCAGGGTTCACTATCGTCACCTAGCACCTCGATCTTGGCACAGGCGTCGCCTCCCAACAACTTCAGAGCTAATTCCACGAGCACGCGATTGAGCCTAGTCTCCGGCGTATATGTCAAGATAAGTGTGGTCAAGCCCGACAGTATGGCACCTTGAACAACAGCACCAAATACAGTACGAGTGAACTGCCACACGCGATTGCGAGCCCAAAACCTCCCCATCGAGTAACCACAACCAATGCTCCAAGAGGCTCCTCCCCTCCTCCTCCTCTCCCTCCTCCTCATCCTCCTCATCATCATCTGTTTCCCTTCTCTTCCTCCTCCTGCTCCTCCTACTACTCCTCCTCCTCCGCCTTCCTCTCCTCCTCTCCCTCCTCATCATTATCCTTATTCTCCTTTCCTCCTCATTTGTTTCCGTCCTCCTCTTCTTACTGATTACTCCTCCTCTTCCTCCTGACCTCCCTCTTCTTCCTATTCCTCGTCCTTCTCTTCATCCTCTTACTTGTTATCCTCCTCCTCGTCCTCTTTTTCCTTCCTCTTTCTCCTCCTCCTCCTACCCGTCCTCCTCTTCCTTCTCCTCCTCATCCTCATCCCCCTCTCAGGCAGGATAAGCCACAGCGAAAGGAGACAACAGACGAGAAGAAATCGACCGAGGGACCCCTTCCTCCTCCTCCTCCTGCCACTCCTCCTGCTGCCCCCCCTCCCTTTCATCTTCGTCGTCTTCAAGGTCGGCGGCACCGGCCGTAAGGCCTCCGCAAGAACCCCTCCTGCATGCTAGAATCCTTCTTTTCAGCTCTCCCTGCACTCAGGAGGAGGAGGAGGAGGAGGAGGCGGAGGAGGAGGAGGAGGAGGAGGAGGGAGGAGGAGGAGGGAGGAGGGAGGACGAGGACGAGCACGACGACGGCGGCGCCGAAGGAGGCACTCCCGAGCCAGAGCACGAGCCGCGACGGGGCCGAGGCACCCCAGCCGCCGCCAAGGGGCACCACCAAGGGGGGCCCGCGCGGCCGAGCCTGCTCGGCGACCACGGCGCCGCCGTTCGCTGCTGGTGCGCGCGCGGGCGCGACATCCCCGCTGCCCCTCCACCTTTTCCTCCTCCTCCTCCTCCTTTTCCTCCTCCTCCTCCTTTTCCTCCTCCTCCTCCTTTTCCTCCTCCTCCTTCTCCTATTCCTCCTTCTCCTCATTCAACTCTCCTGCTCTTGCTTCTCCTCCTCCTTCCCCTCCTCCTCCTCGTCCTCTTCCTCCTCGTCCTCTTCCTCGTCGTCCTCCTCCACCTCCTCCTCGACCTCACCCCCCTCGCCGCGTTCCTCCTCGTCCTCCTCCCTCCCGTCCTCGCGCGGGGGCGTCTCGCCCTCGTCGCGACTAGGGTCGGGCTGGGGAGTGCCTCATTCGTGGTCGTCGTCTCGTCTTTCCCTTCCTCCTCATCTTCCTCCTCCTCCTCTTCATTCCCCATTTCCCCCTCCTGCTGATTCCTTTCCTCCGCTTCCTTTTTCCTTTCCTCCTCCTCCTCCTTTCTTCCTTCCTTCCTCCTCGTCAGCCTTCACCTCTTTTTTTTCCTCCTTCTCCTCCTCCTCCTCCTCCTCCTCCTCCTCCTCCTCCTCCTCCTCCTCCTCCCCCTTCTCTTCCTCTCTCTCATACTTTCTCTGTCTCTGTCTGTCTTTGGCCAGTGAGTTCCCCGAGCGCGGACATCCCCGCCAAGGCCGGCCGGCTTTGGGGGGGATTCACACTAGTGAGCCTGGCGAAGGTAATCGTCGGCTAGTTTGAGACATACGAGTAAAACCAAAGAAAGCAGCAAACGTAGGAAGAGGGCTAAAAGTGGGATATGCAAGCGAGGGCGAGGGAGTGAGCGAATTTAGGCTGCAGAGCAGCACTGGGCGACATCCGCCGAAACGCGGCCGCGGATGTCGCCCCTCCCGTCCTTCATGATTACCCCCCCCCGGTAGTGAATGCGTGAATGTCTGCGCGCGGCGTGGCAAGCGTGAGAGCTGCGAGAGGCAGGCGTGAGTGCGAATCAGAAATCCGCCGATCCAGCGTGTGAGCTTAAGAAGGGGGAGGGGGTCACCGGGTGACCGGGGTGGCTCTGCCGGGGTAGGGTAAGCTAGGGGGGGAGGGGTTCCGGTGGCGTGGGTTCCGGTGGCATGGGGGGGGGATCTGGTCCCCCGTCCCGCCTGTGGACAAGGGGAATTAGGGGAAGAGTGTGGGGGGGGTGTTCCGGTGGCCGGGGTGGCTCTGCTGGGGTTAGGGGAGGGGGGGGGGGCGGGGTTCCGGTGGCGTGGGTTCCGGTGGCGTGGAGGGGGGGGGATCCGGTCCCCCGCTCCGCCTGTGGACAGGGGGAATTTGGGGAAGAGGGGGGGGGTCCGGTGGCGCGGGTTCCGATGACGTGGGGAGGGAAGGGGGGGTTCATGGCGTGTGAGTTTGAAAGAGCCTCAGCTACAGCCTAGAGTCTGAGCTTCAGCCGCTGGGGGGGTTGCCGGGGTGGCTCTGCCGGGGAAGGAGGGGAGGGGTGTGCGTGTGCGCGTGTGCGCGGGGCAATGTTGGTCCGTGTACGCGAAAAGGGAATCGGGGAAAAAAGGAGAGAGAAGTTGAACGGGACAAGAGCGGAAAACGGGGAACCTATGGGGGAAGACGAAGGTGGCAGTGAAATGCGTGTCTGTCGGCACGGCCACTGCTGTCGCGGCCCCGTCTGGCGGGGTCGCGCGCCACACGTCGCATCTCGAAATAACGCAATCGTGACTTCGGGAAGCGTCCTCCGTGGAACCCTGGCAGCGGTGCTTGGCCACGACGCCGTTGAGTCGCGTCGCCCGCGCGCCTCCAAGGCGTTTGCGAATGGTGGCGTTCGTGGCAAATGTGGCTCGCCACCCGCAACTGTGCCTTGACGACGAGTGGGCCATCGAGTCTGGCCATCTCTCTGCTGGCCGCGCGGCGCAGAGCCCCCACGACGTTGTCGGGGCCAGTTCATCTGTTTCGTTTGGCGACGTGGAGGCCGTCCACTAGTTCGTTCTCGGTGATAATGTTGGCAATGGGCGTCGGTCTGGGCGCGGGCGCGATCGTGCATCGCTTCCTTGGCGCCCACGTTGCAGGCGTCGGCGACGTCGCCCAGAGCGCGCGCGATCGCGAGTCGGCGATGGCGAAGTGGTCGAATTCAGCTTCTAATTTGTCCCTCTTCGCTTGAAATTGGCTCTGTGTTGGCATCGATGGTGCGCCGGTGCTCCGTGATCAGCCGTGGTCGGCCGCCCTCCGAAAAGTATCATAATTGCGCGGCGCCTCTCCATTCCATGTTGGCGTCCCTGTTCTCGATCGCCTCGTCGATGCTGTCGGCGCAACCAATCGGGAGCTGGCCTTTGTCCCCGCTAATGCGCGAGACCACTTGTCATGTGGACTGGCGCAAGAAAGCCTCGATTGCGAGGTGGCCCCCATCGAGCGCGGCCTAGCGGCGCGCGCGTTGCAGCCCAGCGTCAGCCAAATCAAACGAGGTGGTGGGTCGCCCAATGCCTGAGCTGCCAGCGTAACTTGGTGAACTGGTGGGCCAGCCGCGAAATCAGCATCGCTGTCTTTTTACGGGGCCCGATTCGGCTCGCTGGGCGCGATGGGATCGCTGGCGCGCTATGCGCACTCGCAGCCATGCGGAGGTCTTCCCGCCTGGGTGCGAGGACGCAGAGCATGCGTGATAATGGCATATTCTTTATTGCCCGAAGCCTCCCTAGCCTGTTGTTGCGCTGGCAAACGTGGTCGTTGATGTGGCGGCCCCACTTGCGCAGTCCGATATTGTCGGGTTATCGATGGAATGTCTGCCGATGGTCGGGGCTCGCGATCCGTGACGGCCCCAGCCTTGACGCGGACTGATTGCATGTATGTCTGGCGTATCACGGAGGGCCAGTGGTCCTAGTCCCTCCTGGGCCATGTCGGTGGCGCCGATGGTCGTCGCATCTTTGACTGTGCCCATATTCTGGGCGGGGACTAGGATGTAATCAATGTGTTCAGTATTGGTCCCTTTCTTCTCAGCGCGCCCTATGCGTTCATCGCCGTCGTGGGCGTCTTGGACTATCGAATGGCCTTCGGCCCATCCCGCCACCATGCCTGGGTTGTGGGTTAAAGGCTTCTTGGAAATTCGTTTGGAATTCGTGGGAGGCCTCATGAGGCCTCATGAAGGCAATTTGGGAAGCCTCTCGGGGGCCGTTTGGGGTGGTCTCGGGGCCTCGTTTTGGGCCTCGTTGGGGCCTCGCGCGGCCTCTAGGGGGCCTCCAGGGGACCTCTTGGGCTCTCTAGGGGCATCTTGGGACCTCCTGGAGGCCTCTTTGGGCGGAAGGCTCGAATTGTCGGTTCGCGTTCCCCCTCTCGGGCCCCTCTTGGGCGATCTTGGGCGCCTCTTGGGCGCCCTCTTTGGGTGCATTTTGGGCTGTATAAACACATTTCTGCGGCCTCGTGGTCTGTCGTGGACAATCGGAAGCACGAAACAGCGAGAACACGAAAAACCTGCAAACACCACATAACAAACCACTTGTTTCGCCGCCTGAGTTCCTCGTGGGAGCCCTTTTGAGGGCACCTTGGCCATCTTGAAGCGCTTTTGGGATGTCTTCAAGCCATGTTGGATCAATGTTGAAACGCTCTTGTGCGGTCTTGGGCTCTCTTGGAGCGTTCTTGGGCCATCTTGGCGCCCTCTTGGACGTCTCTCGGGCTCTCTCGTCGCCCCCCCTTCCCTCCTTTGACCCGTTCTGGCGCCCCCGACGGGCCCGAAACGGCCGGAGGATAAATCAGTTCACTCCGGTGCCCCCAAGACCCCCTCCCCATTATATATATATGTTCAGTTCAGTGGAGCCGCGCCGCACGGCGCATCGGCTAAACAGCACAAGGCTAATTACAACAGTTCTAACGCACAGCCTCTCAGAGAACATGCGCCTGGGCAACGCTTCTCCACCGAGCCCTGCTATAGTTCGGCCCGAGCTCGGCGCGCACAGATGTGCCAGAAGCCGAGCATGCTAGCGACGCGTGCTCATGCATTACGCGAGCCCATGTCAATCTGGGGCGGCCTCGTGCTCTTCTTCCGTGTAGGATCGGTGGGTTCACGCTCCTGGGTGCGAACACTACATCACGAGCTGCTGAGTCCGGCATGCTGCCAAGCTTCCCGAACAGATCGAACTGTTTCATGAGAATGTGGCTGCTAAGACGGTGCTGCCCGGCTTGTTGCCGCACGCTGTGGTTGGACACGTGGGAGATCATGGAATGAGGGATCTTTAGTATTTTGCGCAGACACTGGGCCTGGAACGCACCAAGTTTATCCCTCTCTGCTTTCCGCAAGCACAAAGCCTCGATGCTGTAGGAGAGCTTGGAAATTACGCACGCGTTGAACAGCATGATCTTTCTGCTCCGACTGATGTTCGCGTGCCCCCATACCAGGCATAACTTATCAAGGGCTCCCCTGGCCTCCCCCAGTCTGCGCGCCAGAGACGCGCCCGCGTTACAGTCAACGTTCAGGAGGCCACCAAGATATAAAGCTGAACTGGTCGTGTTGACCGGGTCCCCGGTGGATGTGAGCACTGGCATTGCATGCCGAACTTGTAAATGCACAGTTTTCCCCCAGTTGGGCTCTAGACCGTACCTCCACGCATGTTGAACAAGAGTGCGTAAGAAAAACTGCAGACGAGGGATGTCATCAGATATCAAGGCGGTGTCGTCTGCATACGCAACGTCTAAGCAAGTATTCCCCTCACCGAGTGGACCACATTCTCGCACCATCACTTCTTCGACGTCTGTCAGCAAAACGGACAGCATGATGATGAACAGATAAGGACTCAGCGGGCACCCCTGCGCTATGCCAGATTGCTGGTCGAATATACCAGACTCCCCGTGCGCATCGCGCACGTCAAAGGTTCGGTTGTCGTAAATATCTGCAACGATATCGATACACTCGTCCGGGATGCCAAACCGGGACAATGCGACGACCAATGCAGCCGCGTCCACTCGATCAAAAGCCTTGGACCAATCAAGCAGCAGCACGGACAGGCAGCCGTCCTTGGTCGACCATGCCTTCTCGATTAATCTCTGAAC